AGTAAAAGATTAAGAATGACTTGTGTTGACCAAGTGAATAGTAAAGATATCTTATAAAATGGGACAGAGTATGTAATCTCGTTGGCTTCTTATATATCCGATATAACACGATGGCCCATCGTACAAAAAAACGAAGCAATTGTGCCTGTTGTTCTAACACGATCGATATGTGTTGTGGGTGTTGTAATGTAGCAGTACCATGGCTTTTCTATAAGTTCATCAACAAGCCGAAACTGCCGGTTTACTGACTTTACTCCGTCATGGGAGCGGCGGTGATGCCAAACTACATCTTAACCGACGGCAGATTAACCGCCAACTTCACCGTCAACCTTAAGTCCTGTTAGAGTCCCACACCAGGAATATTTGAATCAATGAAGTGCTATATTAACACACGTGCTACTCCTCCTATCAGGTTGACCTTTTATGCTGGAACCTCATGTCTTAACTATGGTGTCACAAAAGCATCACTCTATTTCAAAGACAGGGTAAAAGTAGCCTCCGGCACACTGCCACCGCTCAGGCAGCCTGCCAGTGCCTCCAACAACCAGTGGCGGGGCGAGGAATGGAAGGTTATATATAGGGGCCGGGGCTTAAGAAATTTATATAGCATGGGCCAAAACTTAAATATTCACTATACTTTTTACTACTTATAAATATTTGTGTTGAGTATATACATCACAAATTCTTTCTTCCAGGGGCCAAGGCCCCGCCAATCTCCCCTTTCTCCACACCTGCCAACAACCTCACCCTCACTCTTCACGCACAAGAGGTGGTGCTTGATTCCACCACTTCGCACTCTCCACTAAGGCGGCCCCGGCGCCCGGTCTGACCATTTCCACGATCTTGCTGCTTAATTGGTACTAGGATTCATTATCATGACAGGTCAATTTTAAACACGAAGAGAATCTTGAACAAAGATACCAAATTACCAATCATCCTACTCTTCCAATGGTTTTGAGGGGCTCTTTATGTTGCAATTTCATCTTTTATGTCATGTCAGGTTTGAAGTCAATTGTATACAAATGATTCATGTACTACTATATCATATTGTGCACTTGTATAAGTGAAGATGTACCATGTTCTTAATGAATATCTTACTATACATATAAAGAGCCTAAGAGAGTTACTATGGTCCTATTCCGTTAAAGCAGTGCTCGATGGAAGTTGTAACACTTGAGATTTAATATAAACAGATTAATAGTACTACTCATACCAACAGAGGTGCATCTCCTTTTAAGGGAGCTCATCACCCAAGAACTCCAAAGTTAAGCATGCTTGCACGGGAGTAATCTTGGGATGGGTGACCCCTTGGGAAGTTTCTCAGGGCGCGCATGAGTGAGAACAAAGTGTGCGGTAAAGGCTCGTGGTGGTTTGTGGGGACAGTACTAGACGTCTGAAGGGTGTGTATGAGTAACTACCTTGGGTCCCACGGGGCCGAGGTGTTACAGAAGCCTCGATTTAGCGCATAGAAAATTAACCGCGATGCTTGCTTCTGTTCATGGCTGTTTGTTCCTGTTCAGCTTGCGGATGGGCTTTATCTCTTTTGACGCCCTCACAAACCTTCACTTTTCGTTTCTGCGCTCTTCGAATTCAGAGGCTAGGGTTCATGCTTACAATTCCTTAGATTCCGCAATAATCTAAGGTGCTAGGGTTCATGCTTACAATTCCTTACAACTCCTTCGAATCGGACATCGACTTTCATCGATGTCCTTGTATGCAGCGGCCATCAACGACCTTTCTCGGACATCAACGACCCTAATTTCTCGTCAACCGTTCCGGTAGATTCAAAGGCTTTCTCGGTTTCCTTCTTGTTAGATGAAATCCAGGTTTATATCCTCTAATATCTGTAGAGTAGTCATTTTCCGGAGGTGTGCCATGTCAAACTAAATCGGCAAGGGAGCGTCGATTTCTGACCGGTCTCCTTCGTCAAATTCTTCATTTGATGTAATATTTTTAAATTTTTTATTATCATATTATGCAGGGTGAGAATGAGAAGGTGAGAAAGGATGACCAGTTAATTTAATTTTGTGAATTTTTTCAAAGTGGTTTTCAGTCTAGCTCTTGAAACTGAATCATCACACTTTTTCAATTTTTTCAAATTGAATCGTTTCATGTGAACTTCATTCAGACTTTATCTGGATATTTTTGAGTTTATCTGCAGGATGCTAAGAATTCAATCCTCCAACTTTCTCATGTAAACTACAGGTAAGTAGTCTATCGTTAATTCTGTGCATCATTGCTTCAATATAAAAGCTTCATAATACATTTTCATTCATTTTTACTAATGTGCTTTTCCACATGAGTTCCTTATATAATCTAACTACTTTTGTTCGCTTTTGTCACAGAAGATCGAATCTATATGTCAATCGATTCTCAGCGCTAGGTACTCTCTCTATTTTCGTTGGCTTCATAGTTGATTCTTTTCTGAGTTTTCTTTCCTTCAAGACTGAATGTTTTCTTTTCATTTTATTCATTCCACATTTATAACTGTTCCAAGAACATTCTCATTATCACTCTGTTAGAGGAGGAAGTTGGAAACCCTTTGTACTTTATTATCATAAGGAATTCAAACTTCCAAGTGAGTCTAGAAACAAGTTTGTGAGGCTGCATAGTCAGTCTGATTATCATAAGGAACTCAAAGGAATTCAAGTTTTTTGTTATTTGTGATGTTTCTGTCCCTGTTACTGATAATGAAAATGTTCTGATTATGAACAGTTATGTACAAGATGGCCCTGCTATTGATTGTGAAAATGCCCATGTCCCTATTACTGGCTGTGAAAATGTTGCATGTGAGAAAGTTGCCTGTGATAAAAGGATTGCTATGTATGATGAACTTGCCCTAGAGAGTACAGTAGCTACATCTGATATTCCCCTTGCTGCCGATGATGCTTCTGAGGCATAGAAAGAATATATATGAGGTCCATAAGGTAAACCTAAGGTCCCTAAGGTCAACAGTGTCAGCACTGGTGACGACAATGTTGTTTATAAGGGGGTTGTGATGACAATTCATTTTCTTGAGCCAGTTGATAGGCATTAGGGATACCCAACCCATATCTTGGCGTGGCAACACACTGGCCAGACCTGAATATCTCACGTGTTTTGTGTGTTTGCAGCCATGGCGGTGTCAGATGTTTCACTTTGTCTATTTGTGAGCTTTGTCTGAGCCTCCATTGTTCTGCATTTATGGAAGAGATTTGTTTAATGCTACCACTTTGTTTAAACATCTAACTTTTCTCTTAATTTTTATAGATTATATTGAAAATCATTCTACAAAAAAATGTTCTTACCTTGCTTTGATATTTGTGGAATATGCAATAGAAGTTCTCCAATGAAATAAGAAGGATGATGGTTAGTAAAACCTCTTGATTTGATATCTGATATGTTATTCTTGGCCCAACAATCTTAGTAAAACCTCTCCCTTAAAGTGTTAAGCGTTAGACATATTGCATTCCTTTTGTGACACTCATTAGTGTTAAAGTTGTAATGCTATCTGTCATTTTCTGGATTTCCATATAATAAATGCTTCAAAGAGAAAGCCTCGACTTAATTTGTGGCATAGGGGTCATTTTGAGTTGTATATAAATTGGTTTCTTCTCCCCGGCCACCCTATGCGCTATCAAGTTCGGTTCTTCTCAGACTGTGACCTCATGCTATTTTCTGCGAAATTGTCTGGTTCATTTAAAGGATGCCCTGCAGTGTCCTTCTCTGAGGAAGATACCTCATCACTTTACACAATTCATCTCTTCCATGATATGCAGGTAATCATGCTTTTTATGCGACATATTTGATGATTAAATATATTATATGCTTATATGCAGTTCATATTTTATACATGTTTTCGTGTTCACTCATTTTCTTTTAATTTGAGATGGAGTGTGAAAATATTTACTTTTAAGATTCTCAGTTTTTAGAGTGCGTTTATTGTGTTTGTAAAAATGTCACAGTGAGATTTTTTGTTTTGAATCCTAATCCTGAATCTGCCCCTCTATAAAAAGTGAAGCTCTTTTTCACAATGTGTGAGATAATGTATATAATTTCCTATTATCTATTTAATAGGAAATTAATTTTATCAATTTAAGTTGGAATCTTATTGTATATATTGAGTACATAAAGAGCAAATGGCTGGATTTTTTATACTGGAGTAATTTAAATCTGAGAAAAAACAAGTACGTATATCTTATTCACTTTTTTATTCAATGAAGGGATATTTATAGAATTCTCATAAAGTGCTGAGGAAAACGGGTGCATATACTATTGTTAAGTCAATAGTATGAACTGGGTATATATGTGACACCGCACCCGAATGTCCTTGGAAATTTGATTTGAATATTCATAGCTTATGTATTGGATTTCCGATTCCCAAACATTTCGTAAAACGATCAATGTTCTACGTAGTGCATGGTTGAATATCGTACTGTTCAAACTCGTACATTAGTGTCGGGTTTCGCAAATACTTACTCGGGACTTATTAATAAATAAAAAGGCCCAACATTACCCAAATAGTGAAAGAATGATTAAAGGAGAATACAAATGTCTATAACCCCATCTTTGGCATTATTGAGCTAAATAATGGGAGTAGGATTTTCCTTCTAAAATATCCATCAAGTAAATTATTGGGATGAGCCTACACACATTGGAGATCAATAATGTGATTTAGGAAGTTGACTTGTTCTAAATAAATTAGGATGAGTACAAGAAGACATCTTTGACAAAGATAAAACAATAGGACCCATCTTCCCATTTTTGGAAGTATTGGTAGATATTTTGGACCCCAAATTTAATGGGATCAATTGGGAACCACTCCACATGATATTAGTACCTGCAAAACAAATAAAAATGGGTTAGAAGACCTACCTTGGCCGTCCATAATGGAGGGGAGCTGCACATGACTTGATAGGAATCAAAACTTGGGCCACCATCCTTATTTTCGCACAAATTGGTGTGCTGTTTGTCTCCTCTCATTATAGAAGCTATACTCGACCAAACAACGTGAATAATATGTCCTTGGATAGCCTTTGAAGTCTATTATCTCAATTGAGTGGTCTTTGTTCGAGGAGAGAAGGCTTATCTTACAAAAATCGAGCTGGAACGAGCAGAGGTCTGTGAACTCGAGCTGTGAGAGTGCTGAGACTGTTTGGTCGATATCTCGAGTTTTACAAATCCAATTAAGGCGTGTGAGATACCCACAGAAAGCTCTCAAGACGAGGAATCCGTGAATGTCTGGTTTGCAGGAATCGGAGTTGTGGAAGGCTTCCAAATCGTCCGAGAAAAACGCAACCTCGCAGGAGAGGATTTAATCCTCTAAAGTGAGTTTTAAACCCCAAAGCTTTACTTTTCATTCCCCAAATGATATGAACGATTGGTGAGACTATTATACACTAATCCAAGTGTATAATATGTCCTTATAAAGTTATTTTATTGATGTAAAGGTTAGATACTAACCTAGATGCAAATATTGGAAAACTAGGAATCGAGTTAGCCGGAAAACACCCGTTCTAGGGGCTGTTTTCGTATCAACGATTAAGGGTTGAACTAGCACTTTGAGGAGGCTGTTTAACACTCATATTTGAGCAAGGAATCAGTTCCAAATCCACCTTGACCAAAGCTTTGACCATTGGACCAAGGAGGGAAAGTTTAAAGCTCAATTGAGGTGAGGATTGACATCTAATTGCTTACAACTTGTAGGTTAAGCATGAGATTACCTAAATGCTTAAATCATGATTTTTCATGGATTATGATGATTATATATTGATGAAATATTGATATAGTTGCCAAGGAATGAAATTTGAAATGATTTGAGAAGGTATGAATAATATGAGATTAAATGAGTATAAATGAACTATTTTGTGAAAATGGGCATTTTGCTCATGTATGAATTATGTGGATACATAAATGAATATTTGTGTATTGAGATTGAATACTTAAGTTGCTGCTACATAATTATAAATATGTAGAGAATTACAAATAATGAGGATAATGGTATGATAACAATAATCTTAATAGTATTGAAATACTAGTTAGTGATTATTGGAACTTGTTGATTAAATTGATCCTAGGGATTGGATTGTATGAAAGGTACTTGAATATAGTTCAAGTGTATATAATAACTTAGTTTGGAACTAAGGTTAAGTTATGGGAAGTCTTTAAGGATGACCCAAAGAAGTTTAATGATATGTCAATTCTAGGCATAGGGTTGCTTGAGAATTGGACCTTAATGCATGGTGATGTAATAGAGCCGAGCTCTAGAATGCATGTAAGGTGTAGACTTGGAGTCTATGTATTGTATAGCTAGAGCCGAGCTCTAGGACTTGCGTGGTGATGTAATAGAGCCGAGCTCTAGAACGCAAAGGTAAAGAAATTGACCCGAGGTATATGAATTGTATGGTGATGTAGTAGAGCCGAGCTCTAGAATACAATGTCATGTACTAGGGTTGGACTCTAGGAGTTGTCGTGGCTTATAGCCACGGGGTTGGGAATGGTGATTTCCAAATGAAAACGGGCCCACGGGCCGACTACTTGACTTTTATATAAAGTAAGTATATTTTTAAACGGGGTAACTTAGGGTTACAATCATAATGTACTATCACCCTACTTGAGGGTCTTGTGTTTGAAATACTTGTTGTATATCTATTAGATGCCTGCCACACCAGTACTTTATAGCCGTATAGAGTACTGACCCCTTCGGGGGCGTCCCACCACCATTTCAGGTTGAGGCTAGAGCTTGCATCCTGTGCTCGTTGATCGAGTGATTCCTCGGAGAGAAGACTTGGTTCGTGCTTCCTCCATTCTATTTGAAACATTAATAAATTTGCTCATGGATATTTTACTTTAGAGCCTGCGTGCTCATGTTTGCCCTGTGTGGCCCTTTTGTTTTAAACAATGTTTTCCGATGCGTATTCAATTGTTTATTATGTATGTTTATGGATGACTTATGTGTGAATGATATTCATGACGCCTTGTATAATATGAATGTGTTGGACTGCGGTTGACTATTCGTATTGTACGGCGGGTTGTTGACGTGTCCGGGGAGGCCCGGGGCGTGACAATTAAGTTGGTATCAGAGCCTTAGTCCATAAACTTCATAATGAAGTCTCAAAATTCTCTTTTTGAAAAGATTTTGAAAACCATGAGCATAGAAGTTTTGTACTTGGAGAGCTTTTGGTACTTGGGTTGCAAGGTCTCTAATTGTTAAGATGGTACCCTTAGCAATTGGTATGGCAGTGACTCGAGCCAAAATGTGTCTTAAGTACCTATCCGTCAATTGACATTTGATACGAGTCTAACGACTCTTTCCCAATTTCTTTCAAAAATGGACCGTGGTGGCAGGATTACTAGGAGAAACCCGACCGGCCGTGTACCAGAGGAGACTGGACAGGGCAGTCGAAGGACCTCTAGGGCATCTAGAGGAGCTGGCCGTGGAGGCCGATCACAGACCGTGAGTGACGGTCATGTCGACACAGAAAGTGAAACCTACTGGTCCTATGAGGACTCGACCTATCGACCGGAAACTGAACCGGTTGAGACCCCTTATGAAGGGGATGATGATGATGTAAGTGATGAGGAGGAAAATGGCTCCTTAGCACGGATTGAAGCACTACTTCAACAGTATCACCGTGAGCGTGAAGAGAGGAGGGAACGCCGAAGGCGCCGGGCTGGGCAACCTTCGGGCATGGCTTCACGAGGAGGAAGTCATGGTGCATCTAGAGTCCATGTGGAACCACGTGGAGGCCAAAATGATGGAGGTCCAACCATAAGGATCTCCAAATACATCAAAGAAGCAAGAGATTTGGGGTGCAAACCCTTTGATGGAGCAGGGGACATTTCAGTGGCAGCACAATGGATCAAGAGGCTAAATGAAGCGGCCCTTGACATGCAAATCGCGCCGAATCTCAAACTGAGAATTGCGGTAAGATTGCTCGAGGGGATGGCATCCAAGTGGTGGGATGGAACCAAGAACAAGTACGGTGAGACCGTCGTTTGGGAGGACTTCCAACGGGAGTTCTTTGCCCAATACTATTCTGATTTCGAGGTGAATAAGAAGGTGAGGGAATACACCCTCCTAACCCAAGGGGGTAACATGTCAGTGAAGGAGCTTGAGTACAAGTTCCGGGATCTCGCCGACTACATACCGGAGTATGCTTGTGACGAGAACCGCATGGTGAACCACTTTTGGGACGCTCTTGACTTGGAGATACGTGATAGGGCAACGCAATTGCCTAATATGACTTTCGCCCAAGTGGTTGAACAAGCATTAAAAGGGGAGAAACAGTGGGAGGAACGGAAGAAGAGAGACGCCGAAGAGGCGAAAAAGAGAAAGTGGGAGAGTCATGGCTCCCAAGGTTCCAACAAAAAGGGAAACCACGGAGGAGGATCTTTCCGGGCACCACCGCCACCGTCTAGGGGGAACCAAGGCCCGAGTGGGCAAGGCTCGAGGTCACAAACCTCAGTGGTAACTCGTTGCAACAATTGCAAGAGGAACCATTCCGGTAAATGTCGCGACCCCCCTAGATGTTTCCAATGTGGGGATGCCGGGCATTTGAAGGCACATTGCCCACAACTGGGCGGGGCAAGGACATCGGGACCAAGTAGTGGCCCGACGGGTACACGGAATCAACCCGGGGCTTCTCAAGCAAGCCGGGGACATGGGGGAGCAAGCGCGAGCAACGCGCCGTCCGTGAACCAAGGAAGGACCCAGGCTAGGGTCTACGCGATGACGGAGGCGGATGCTCAAGCTAATCCGGATTCCGTTGCAGGTATTACCTCTCGTATACTAGTGTTTTGTCCTTAATTAGTCCATAAATTAAGGTTACTAATCGTTAGGACCATTGCAAAAGGTTTGGGGGTCGAACCGGGGGATTTCGGGCAACTTCAGGCAGCTGGAACCCAGGCACGATCGTGCCCAAGGCAGACACGATCGTGCCTCCAAGTCAGTAGCTGCCCAGGAAAATTCCCAACCCAGGCACGATCGTGCCTAAGGCAGACACGATCGTCCCTACAAGGCAGTAGCTGCCCAGGTGTTTCTTCAAACCAGGCACGATCGTGCCTAAGCCAGACACGATCGTGCCTCCAAATCAGTGGCTCCCCAGGATTTCCCAACCCAGGCACGATCGTGCCTAAGGCAGACACGATCGTGCCTCCAAGGCAGTGGCACCCTGGGCGTTTCCCCAAGCCAGGCACGATCGTGCCTACCCCAGGCACGCCGTGCCTGGCACCCAGATTGCCGACACCCGATTTTTTCGCATCGTTTTGCGACGTTAAGGCCTCTTCTTGATCCCTAACGTGCGTGTGAACATTGCAACCTTCTATAAATGAGTAGGGAGGGTAGGAAAGATGTCTTACATGGTTCATGAATGTAGGGACACTAAAGATTAACGGGAAGGATGCACGAATCCTTATCGATACCGGAGCGCAACGTTCATTCGTGAGTGAGGCGTTTGCCGAGAGCTTAAAGATGCAATCAATACCAATGACACAAACCTTAGTGGTATCAACCCCACTAGGGGAAGACGTTGAAAGAAACAATTACTATCCATCTTGTATGGTGGAAATCGGTGGCCAAACCTTGACGTGTGATTTCGTACCGCTGAGTATGATGGAGTTCGATGCAATCCTAGGGATGGATTGGCTAGAAAAGCATCATGCTAGGGTAGATTGCTACACAAAGGTGTTGGAACTCGAAGGCACACAGGGGGACACCCTACGCTTCGAGGGGGACCGCGGCAAATCAAATAGTTGTATCATATCCGCCGTGAGAGCGAGAAATATGATGAGGAAGGGATGCCACGCATATCTAGCATACGTGGTTGACAAAACCAAAGAGGAAACGAACGTCGATGATGTGAGGGTGGTTTGTAAGTATCCGGATGTCTTCCCTAAAGACCTACCGGGGCTTCCACCTGACAGAGAGATTGAATTTGTGATCGAGGTCGAGCCTGGTACCAAACCAATCTCCATACCGCCATACCGGATGGCACCCGCTGAACTTAACGAGTTGAAAACCCAATTGCAAGAGCTTTTGGATAACGGTTTCATTAGACCAAGCCACTCCCCGTGGGGAGCACCGGTTCTTTTTGTGAAAAAGAAAGATGGGACACTTCGAATGTGCATTGACTATCGTCAACTGAACAAGGTCACAATCAAGAATAGGTATCCGTTGCCTAGGATTGATGACTTGTTTGATCAACTACGAGGAGCAACCGTGTTTTCGAAGATTGACTTGAGGTCGGGGTACCATCAATTGAAGATTAAGGAAGATGACATACCAAAGAGTGCTTTCCGCACAAGGTATGGGCATTTTGAGTTCCTTGTTATGTCGTTTGGGTTAACAAACGCCCCGGCGGCATTCATGGACTTGATGAACCGAGTATTCCATAAATACTTGGATCGATTCGTGATTGTGTTCATAGATGACATCTTGATTTACTCAAAGAGTGAAGAAGAGCATGAGGAGCACTTGATACTTGTTCTTGAAACACTACGGGAGAAGCAACTCTATGCCAAATTTTCTAAATGTGAATTTTGGCTAAAGGAGATTGGCTTCCTCGGGCACGTGGTTTCGGGATCGGGGATTGCTGTTGATAACAAGAAGATAGAAGCCATTACTGAATGGGAGAGGCCAAAGAACGTCAAGGAAATTCGTAGTTTCCTTGGATTGGCAGGCTACTATAGAAAGTTCGTGGAGAAGTTCTCTGTTTTGGCATCGCCATTGACGAAGCTCACTCGTAAAGGAGCTAAGTTTGTATGGGATGACAAATGTGAGAAAGGGTTCATGGAACTAAAGAAGAGATTGACTGAGGCACCGGTACTTGCATTACCCAAACAAGGTGTGGGGTACGATGTCTATAGCGATGCGAGCATCCAAGGGCTCGGATGTGTACTGATGCAGAATGGGAGGGTAATCGCCTATGCTTCACGACAATTGAAGAAGCATGAGGTGAATTATCCTACTCATGATTTGGAGCTCGGGGCAGTGGTATTTGCACTGAAGATATGGAGACATTATCTCTACGGGGAGACATGTCACATATACACTGATCACAAGAGCTTGAAGTACGTGTTTACTCAGAAAGAGCTAAACATGAGACAGAGACGGTGGATGGAGCTGATAAAAGACTACCATCTAGTGATAGAGTATCACCCAGGCAAGGCAAACGTGGTGGCGGATGCTTTGAGCCGGAAGAGCTCGTCTGGGGCATTGATAACTAATTTGAGGGCATTAAGAGCCCAACTGGAGGTAACCAGCGATGGTGCCTTATTGGCACGATTTGAGGTGAGACCCACTTTACTTGATGAGATCAAGAAGGGTCAGGAAGCCGACGAAGAACTTATGAAGGTCCGGGAACGCATGCAAGCGGGGCCGGTGGAGGATTTCAGGGAAAGAGATGATGGTCTCTTGTTATTTCGTGACCGAGTGTGTGTACCGTCAGATGATGAGCTCCGAAAGTCCATCTTAGAGGAGGCTCATTCATCGGCTTATGCCATGCACCCGGGGGGGCACGAAAATGTACCGTGATTTGAAGGAAAGTTACTGGTGGTCTGGAATGAAGAGGGAAATAGCCGAGTACATCAGTCGGTGCCTTACTTGTCAACAAGTTAAGGCAGAACATCAGCACCCAGCAGGCTTATTGCAACCACTCTCCATCCCTGAATGGAAGTGGGAGCACGTGACTATGGATTTCGTGGTAGGCTTACCACGGACTATCAGGAACTATGACGCGGTTTGGGTCGTTGTGGATAGGCTCACAAAGAGTGCACACTTCTTGCCTATCAACACTACCTACCCACTTGAGAGGTTAGCCAAATTGTATACGGATGAGATCGTGAGGCTGCAAGGGGTCCCGGTGACCATTGTATCTGATAGAGACCCACGATTCACATCACGTTTTTGGCCGAAATTCCAGGAGTCTATGGGAACGAAGTTGAAGTTCAGCACTGCTTTCCATCCACAGACGGATGGGCAGTCTGAAAGGGTTATACAGATCCTAGAAGACATGCTGAGGGCTTGTGCATTGGAGTTCCAGGGGAGTTGGGACAACCACTTAGCACTTGTGGAGTTTGCCTATAACAACAGTTATCAGGCAAGCATCGGCATGCCTCCATACGAGGCATTGTATGGGAGGAGGTGCCGTACACCGTTATGTTGGGACGAGGTTGGCATGGCCAAACTCGAGGGTACTGAGTTGGTGGAGGTCACCAAATCAAAGGTGAAGCTAATTCGAGAGAGACTCAAGGCGGCTCAGGATAGACAAAAGAGTTATGCAGATAAGCGTCGAAGAACCTTAGAGTTTAAGGTTGATGACGAGGTATTCTTGAAAGTTTCTCCTTGGAAAGGGATCATTCGGTTCCAAACCCGAGGAAAACTTAACCCACGATATATAGGTCCATTCAGAATTATAGAGAGGATTGGGGCCGTTGCATATCGTCTACAATTGACTCCTGAGTTAGAGAAGATACATAATGTGTTTCATGTATCCATGCTTAAGAAGTATGTGCATGATTCCTCTCACGTATTGGAGAAGCCACCTGTAGAGGTACGTGAGGATTTGAACTACTCTGTTCAACCTATCAAGGTCACCGATAGAAAGGTGAAGAAACTGAGGAGCAAGGAAGTCCCAATGGTTAAAGTCTTGTGGAAGAGCGATCGAGTCGAAGAAGAGACATGGGAAACAGAGGCTTTGATGAGAAAGCAGTATGCTTTCCTATTCGAGTAGAGCTGTGAATTTCGGGGACGAAATTCCTGTTAAGGGGGGTGAACTTGTGACACCGCACCCGAATGTCCTTGGAAATTTGATTTGAATATTCATAGCTTATGTATTGGATTTCCGATTCCCAAACATTTCGTAAAACGATCAATGTTCTACGTAGTGCATGGTTGAATATCGTACTGTTCAAACTCGTACATTAGTGTCGGGTTTCGCAAATACTTACTCGGGACTTATTAATAAATAAAAAGGCCCAACATTACCCAAATAGTGAAAGAATGATTAAAGGAGAATACAAATGTCTATAACCCCATCTTTGGCATTATTGAGCTAAATAATGGGAGTAGGATTTTCCTTCTAAAATATCCATCAAGTAAATTATTGGGATGAGCCTACACACATTGGAGATCAATAATGTGATTTAGGAAGTTGACTTGTTCTAAATAAATTAGGATGAGTACAAGAAGACATCTTTGACAAAGATAAAACAATAGGACCCATCTTCCCATTTTTGGAAGTATTGGTAGATATTTTGGACCCCAAATTTAATGGGATCAATTAGGAACCACTCCACATGATATTAGTACCTGCAAAACAAATAAAAATGGGTTAGAAGACCTACCTTGGCCGTCCATAATGGAGGGGAGCTGCACATGACTTGATAGGAATCAAAACTTGGGCCACCATCCTTATTTTCGCACAAATTGGTGTGCTGTTTGTCTCCTCTCATTATAGAAGCTATACTCGACCAAACAACGTGAATAATATGTCCTTGGATAGCCTTTGAAGTCTATTATCTCAATTGAGTGGTCTTTGTTCGAGGAGAGAAGGCTTATCTTACAAAAATCGAGCTGGAACGAGCAGAGGTCTGTGAACTCGAGCTGTGAGAGTGCTGAGACTGTTTGGTCGATATCTCGAGTTTTACAAATCCAATTAAGGCGTGTGAGATACCCACAGAAAGCTCTCAAGACGAGGAATCCGTGAATGTCTGGTTTGCAGGAATCGGAGTTGTGGAAGGCTTCCAAATCGTCCGAGAAAAACGCAACCTCGCAGGAGAGGATTTAATCCTCTAAAGTGAGTTTTAAACCCCAAAGCTTTACTTTTCATTCCCCAAATGATATGAACGATTGGTGAGACTATTATACACTAATCCAAGTGTATAATATGTCCTTATAAAGTTATTTTATTGATGTAAAGGTTAGATACTAACCTAGATGCAAATATTGGAAAACTAGGAATCGAGTTAGCCGGAAAACACCCGTTCTAGGGGCTGTTTTCGTATCAACGATTAAGGGTTGAACTAGCACTTTGAGGAGGCTGTTTAACACTCATATTTGAGCAAGGAATCAGTTCCAAATCCACCTTGACCAAAGCTTTGACCATTGGACCAAGGAGGGAAAGTTTAAAGCTCAATTGAGGTGAGGATTGACATCTAATTGCTTACAACTTGTAGGTTAAGCATGAGATTACCTAAATGCTTAAATCATGATTTTTCATGGATTATGATGATTATATATTGATGAAATATTGATATAGTTGCCAAGGAATGAAATTTGAAATGATTTGAGAAGGTATGAATAATATGAGATTAAATGAGTATAAATGAACTATTTTGTGAAAATGGGCATTTTGCTCATGTATGAATTATGTGGATACATAAATGAATATTTGTGTATTGAGATTGAATACTTAAGTTGCTGCTACATAATTATAAATATGTAGAGAATTACAAATAATGAGGATAATGGTATGATAACAATAATCTTAATAGTATTGAAATACTAGTTAGTGATTATTGGAACTTGTTGATTAAATTGATCCTAGGGATTGGATTGTATGAAAGGTACTTGAATATAGTTCAAGTGTATATAATAACTTAGTTTGGAACTAAGGTTAAGTTATGGGAAGTCTTTAAGGATGACCCAAAGAAGTTTAATGATATGTCAATTCTAGGCATAGGGTTGCTTGAGAATTGGACCTTAATGCATGGTGATGTAATAGAGCCGAGCTCTAGAATGCATGTAAGGTGTAGACTTGGAGTCTATGTATTGTATAGCTAGAGCCGAGCTCTAGGACTTGCGTGGTGATGTAATAGAGCCGAGCTCTAGAACGCAAAGGTAAAGAAATTGACCCGAGGTATATGAATTGTATGGTGATGTAGTAGAGCCGAGCTCTAGAATACAATGTCATGTACTAGGGTTGGACTCTAGGAGTTGTCGTGGCTTATAGCCACGGGGTTGGGAATGGTGATTTCCAAATGAAAACGGGCCCACGGGCCGACTACTTGACTTTTATATAAAGTAAGTATATTTTTAAACGGGGTAACTTAGGGTTACAATCATAATGTACTATCACCCTACTTGAGGGTCTTGTGTTTGAAATACTTGTTGTATATCTATTAGATGCCTGCCACACCAGTACTTTATAGCCGTATAGAGTACTGACCCCTTCGGGGGCGTCCCACCACCATTTCAGGTTGAGGCTAGAGCTTGCATCCTGTGCTCGTTGATCGAGTGATTCCTCGGAGAGAAGACTTGGTTCGTGCTTCCTCCATTCTATTTGAAACATTAATAAATTTGCTCATGGATATTTTACTTTAGAGCCTGCGTGCTCATGTTTGCCCTGTGTGGCCCTTTTGTTTTAAACAATGTTTTCCGCTGCGTATTCAATTGTTTATTATGTATGTTTATGGATGACTTATGTGTGAATGATATTCATGACGCCTTGTATAATATGAATGTGTTGGACTGCGGTTGACTATTCGTATTGTACGGCGGGTTGTTGACGTGTCCGGGGAGGCCCGGGGCGTGACAATATATCTCTTATTCATTGGTTATACTGGAGCAATTTATTATTCATTGATTCATTTTCTATACTGGAGCAATTTCTTGTTCACTTGATCATGAGTAAGTCAATAGTATGAACCTGCCTTTTGCCATTACAAACGCAAGTTTAAAGCATGTGATTAGTGCATACTTCTGTTTTAAGCACACTTACTTTATTACAGTCCTTTTGTAATTCCGATTGTGTTTCTTTTTTGTTTGCATATGTCATGTTTGATAAAAATACTTAGGTGATCTTTCTTACTTTTGATGGTTTAAAGCATTTGAAATAAAGAAAATTGATTGAAGGCTTGATAATATCAAAGCAGCAACTTCATATCCTATATTCACACATTTTATTAACCTCTTGAATGATGATAAGTTATGAAAGTTGACTGTCAAAAAAGGTATGAAACTTATTGACATTGCAATGTTTTGCTGGTATTCATATATAGTGTTGATAATTAGGATTCTTGAGCACACCAGAGGACATATACATTGTGAAAGCCTACAAAGGATATATGGTCAGAAAAGTCTAAAGCGAATATTCACTCTTTTTCATTAAAAATAATTCTTGGTGTCTTGGAGTTAACATGTGGTCTATCTAAAGAGGTACAATTTTCACATTATGACGCTTTGTACTATAGTTTGTCTATCTACATTTGACCAAAGTCTTTCTTATTAAACCTTGAAAGAAGGATATTATAACACGTACCAAATATAATTAGTCAAGTATAGTTAATATGTTTCTTAGTTGAACGATATTTATCTTAATTTTAATTTTATAACATTTTTTTAGTTTTTTCTAATATTTTGATGAGACAAAACTGACTTTTAGCTTTATATCAGATTATGAGTATTCTCTCTGGGGAGTAAGGACTACCTGAAGAGTGTTGAAAGAAAAAAGTCAAGCATGAAGTTCATCTGAGGGGATATATAGTAGTGTAATCTACTATATTTAGGTCCTTTCTGAGATAGGCCAGCAGGTATAATTGATACATTTTCCTTTTTTGTTTGCTTTTCTTGCTATTTCGTCTCATTTGTAGTGTAACAAAGAAAGAGAAGTCACATTTTGAGCTATTTGGTTCCAGGTGAGTGAAATTACAGATCTCTCTCAAAGCTTTTAGGTTATTTTTTTTTTCAATTTGATGGTCATGCTTCTCTCCTGTGTTTGTGCTGCCCAGTTTTATTCTGATAATGGTTTGATAAGCTCCTCTGATGTCTTTTATTTTCAAATTAAGATTAGTCTCATTTGTTTAATTTCCACTACGTTTTTATTTTAGGTATTATGCTTAAAATAATTTTAGATGCAAAATGCAGAATTTTCATTTTCCCTCGTATCCAACCTAAAGTAAATGACATCCAGGTTGGTATTCAACTCAAACTTTGGCTTATACCTATGTAGTAGGCTATGTTTGGGATGAAGATAAGGAAGGTGACTGGGTGTAATTTCACTATTCGTAAAAGGCCTAACCTCAATATCTGTGCTTAAGAAGCAGTCTTACCCCTGTACTAAAGCACAAAGAGACAGTTTCCGGATGACCCATAGTGAAAATCGCGTCCAAAATTGCATGAACTGACTGTTGCTTTATAACAAAGAAGCGCAGACAGTTTAGTGAGCCATTTTGCTTTATTCCATCATATTCTCAAGCCAAAAAACATTTGGGATTTCTTCGGTTCCAAGATGGTTGTGTCCAGATGGATTCCATCCTTCTTTGTGGAACGGGATTCCCCCTTTATTGATGTTTCTATTGAAGCTCCTGTTGTTGATGTTTATGTTGAAGCTACTGAAAAAATAGGTGCTGCTACCCAGGTTGTTGCCTTAGTCCCTGTTTTGGATGTATCTGGTAATTTAGATGCTACTGTTGTCACCCAGGATGTTAGTGTGCCTACTTCAGCTACTCAAGATGTTGTTATCCCCCGGGAAGACTCAAGATGTTGTTATCCCCCGGGAAGTTACTATAGCTACTCTGTTGTCACCATTCTTATCACCTTTTTTTTTATATTTTTGGGTATCGACTCCTTTTCTCAGTTCACTCTATGTCATTTTCATTATTTCTTTAAACACTTTTGATAAAAAAAAGTCCCTTTTGTTATCTACACACCATGTCAAGGTCTGTTTTATTTAAATTCTGGATTAACTTTTTATTAGCTGCATATATATTTTCTGTAATCCTTTCTTTCATCTATGATTTTTTCTCATTGATGCTTTTTTAATTTTGGAACCGAATTTGATTTTAGAGGAATCAATATTTTGTTAGTGTTCTTTCATTATTAGTGATTTAATCAGTCTTCTACTACCTTATTCACATATCCTTATACCTCATATAAGAAAAGCTTTAACGATATGAATCATATTAGCATATCCACTTTTCTTGGATTTTTTTATTGTCTATTATCAGATTACTCATACTAAGCTCCTTATACTTTTTAATCTGAAAGGTGGGATTTTGATCAATACACAAGGAATAAACAAGCTGAAATTGATCAAGAAGCTGTCAAGATGAATGCTTTGGATGCGAAGGTACTTCAGGTTATGCTCCAGCTAACCTTTTGATTGTTTGTTGAAGTTGAACTTTATAACTATTGAGAGTAGTTTGTGTCTTATCAAAATGATCATAGCTAAAGTAAGTATAATTTTAGTATATTTACGTACGGTTGGTACCCTAATCTACTTGGTTACGTGTAATCATTTGTTTTCATTATCTAATATCTAATATATATTTATAGGCATAACAAAATTGCATTGATAACATATTAACATGTCATTTGTATTACGTGTTTTCTTCTGATTTTTTAATATTTTAAGAATGTGCTTTGTGTGCTCATTGATAACATATTATTATATTAACATGTCATTTGTAGAATGCTAAAGAGTGTTATTTGTATTGATTTCATACCTAGTTTTTGTTTTTTGCTCTCTTATTGATCTGAGGGAAAACAAAACTCATATCACATTAACAGAAATTGACAATGGCAATTTTCTTCAGAATCACTTTCCCGTTTCTAAAGTTAATTATAATATATGAAAGAAATCATTGACAAATTTGGTTCAAACAACCTGACATAGTTTGATGACTGAATGATATTAATGCATCTCTGCTCCAAATTCTTTTTATGAATTTCATCTCTTTGTGGTTTTGCTGAAGATAGTATTGACTTTCCTCTATTTTTGTTTCTCTTTGGACTTCATAAGAGAATTTTGACTCTCCTCTCCAATTTTCATTTATTCACTTTCTTCTGAATTCTTTTCTTCTATTTTGTTTGTTTTCTTATCAAAATGTTTTCACTGCATGATGTGTTTACCTCTTTTGTTTGGTTTTGGTGGACATACCAGTAGAACTATGATGTTTTACTCGGTTTGGAATTATATATCTAGAACCCTAATTTTGATACTGGATTTGATAATAATGCTCATTGGCATAGAACATCTTAATCTCTGTACCTGGAAATCACCCCATCTATTATGTCATATGTATTTTGTTCGAACTTTTTACCACAACAAGTTTGATTTTGTTACATGATTAGATGTTCACAGGTATAGAGCATTTCAATCTTTATGGGTATGAACTTTTGTATCTACATAACTTCTAAATGGTGTGGTTAGGGTTGACCTTTCGTATCTCCATGTTTGCTTTAATCTCTTATGCGAGTAATACTTCAAAATTTAAATGTAGAACATTTTGATTGACTAAAAATTAAAGTAGACTGAAACCAAACAGTCTTAATTTTTTTCAACTAAAAAACTTAGTAAATGAATTTACTCCCTTAGCATGAAATTGGCATACTTGATTTTGACTCTCTATAAATAATTTTAATATTTGAGAATCTTATTTGGTTGGATTGACGATGGAGCATACCTGATTGGCATACTCTTTATATTGGCATACCTGGTTTTGAAATTGGCATACCTGATCGAGGATCTTACATTAAATGGAGCATATTGGGGATTGACAATTCTTTATATTCTAGGGAAGATTAGTGTAGTGGATCAAGATGAGGTCATTTCATTGAATAGTGCAAAACTACCGTAAATAACTTAGTATTATGTTCGAGCTCTTTCACTTGAATGTTATGCTTGTTTCTGCTTTGCTGTGTGGGTGTTTATTTGAATCATCTCTTTAATTTTTAATACTTGTTCTAGATTCTCTTAAAACCCGATCTCTCCTCTTTACATGTCGGAACTGTCGTCCTCTTAAGATTGAATGCATTAGTTATGAAACATGTAGGATTGTATAAACAACAAGGGCACAACAACAAATGAAGTTTTGGCTGGTACTCATTTTGGAATTTAGCTTATGGCTGTGTGGTAGATTGTGTCTGGAATGCAGCAAAGGTAAGGTTAAGAAAGTAAAAAAACTGAAAACAATTGTTGCATATTTCTTTTTAATGTTTGGCTTCACATTTGAAACTGCTACGATCGTAGACACTTCTTTGGAAGATGCTCTTTGGTGTGACATGGGTGACTTGTTTTGTCAATGTTATTTATGGTTATAATTGTTATAATTTGTTCTTGTTTTTTATTTTCTTACTTATGTTGTTTATATGTGTTGATATTACTGCCTGATTTTCCTCCCTGTGAAATATTCTTCGTTGGGCCCTACCGTCGCGCAACGCGTGCGCCCACGCTAGTAATTGAAATAAAAGGCAAGCTAAGCCAACGGGTTTAATTAGAAGGCATGAAATAAAACGGCATTGTACTATTAATTAATTAGTGTGGTATTAATCTTGATACTGTTTAAGCTATTTTCATAACATAAATTACGTAAATATGATATGTGTATTTGGAAACTACAAATCAATGGACAATCGTGCAAAATATCAAAAAAGTAACAAAGAATAAGAAGGAATGGATGAATGATGACCATATCAGTACCATGAAGTTGGAATAAATGATTTTTTAATTCAAATTGATAAAGAATCCAATCTCTTCATCGAGAATGTCTGAATGTGAATATCCAGAAAACAAAAAAAAAAAATTGGTTACTCTTTTTATTAATGTAAAATCTCAAATGCTCAACCCTTAGGGCAGAACACTAACGAACCCTAGGTAGCCATTGTGGAATTTATCAAAAGTGGATATTCAATTCAAGGTCATATAGGAGGTGTTTACTTCGCTGCTAAAGTCACAGTTAGCTTAATAAGAAAGGTGAGGTAAACACGCATGCTGCTTAAAAAGCCGCTTATGGCCTGTTTGGATTGAGTGTTGAGGAGTGTTAGTAATGGAAGTGTTAGTAAGTGTTGATGCTAACACTTGTTTGGGAGAAAAATTCAGAGGTGTTAACACCTCAATTGTCCTTTTTTTAACACCCCGATTTGGAGTGTTTTGAGGTGTTGGACATTTATTACCCTTCTCATTTACCCAAAAAACATAAAATGCTTCGACATTTCACTTCGAATGTCTTTCCCACGGGTCTTATGGTTTGTTTTTTCATCTCTTCTCTTTAATCGTTTCTTTTGCCTCAGGGTAAAATTATTAACACTTTTATTATTAACACTTCATTTATTTGACTCTACCAAACAAGGTAAAATTATGTCCAACACTTACACTTCTCTTCCCTTCCGAGCCCTTACTAACACTTACTAACACTTCTATTACTAACACTTCGAAACACTCCATCCAAACAGGCCCTTACTAACCCAAAGAGGTGCTTAAAGTGCTGCTAACCAAGCATACCACCCCCATGTATTAATTAAGCGGCACTTTAATCTTTTTTAGTTTCCGAATTTACCGTTGTCCTTATCCTATGTATAGTTACCCCACTACCCGCTACCCCCACCCCGCTCAACCCTACTACCTCGACCCCAACCCCACTCTACCCACTACCTCCATCCTGGTGCCTTACCCCTTTCCCTACCCTACCCCACCCCTACCCTACCCCTACCTCGACCCCACCTCGGTCCCGACCCCCACCCTATCGCCATCTACCCCTACCCCTTACCCTATCCTAACCTGACCCCACCCCCACCACCTACCCTACCTTGTCCCACCCCCAATACCGGCCCCACCCCCTTACCCTACCTTACCCTGACCTCACCCCACCCTACCTTAATCAGACCCACCCCTTACCCCTTACCCTACCCCTACCTCGGCCACCCCGATCCTCGACCACACCCTATCGTTCATCTACGCTACCCCTAACACTACCCTACCTCGGACCACCCCAATCTCGGCCCCACCCCTACCGCCGTCCTACCCCTACCCCCTTACCCTAACTTACCCCGACCCCATCCTACCCTACCGTCATCCTACCCTACCCTACCCCAACCCACCCCCACCCATACCCCTAACTCGGCCCCACCCCGATCCCGAACCCACCCTATCGCCATCTACGCTACCCCTACCCTACCTTACCCCCACCCACCCCACACCTACCCTACCTTGGCCCACCCCAATCTCGGCCCCACCTTACCTCCCTACCCCTTACCGTACCTTACCCCCGACCCCACTACTTTACCCCGACCCACCCCCACCCCCTACCCCTACCTCGGCCCCACCCCGACCCCACCTTACCCCCACCCCTACCACATGCTCCTACCTCAGCCCCACCTCGATCCCGACCCTACCTTACCCCAACCCCACCCTACCCTACCCCAGCCTTACCCCCATCCCACCCTACTCACCATCCCCACCCTTACTCCTAACCACGACCCTATCCCACTCCCTACCACTTGCCCCTACCTTGGCCCCATCCCGATCCCAACCCCACCCTGGTCCTTACCACCCGACCCCTCATTACATGCCCCTACCCCGGCCTCACCCTGATCCCGACCCCACCCCTATCGCCATCTTACCCACACCCACCCTATTGTGTAGGGTAGGGGTCAAAGGTGTGAAATTGGGGGTAGGGTGTAGGGGTAGGGATAGGGGTGGGGGTACGTGGGGGTATAGGGCGGGGTAAGGGGTTAGCGGCAGGGTACATGTACGAGGTGACCCCACATATTATATTATATACATGTGTTCATGAATGTTTGTGCATCTATATATGTATAGGGTTATTTTGGACATTTTAATGTTAAACGGTGTTTTAAACCCTATGAAGTAAACACGATCTTACAACATTGCTTATTTTATGCTCCGCTTATTAACGCATGTCTTAATAAGCATCGTTTAGTAACCCGTGAAGTAAACATGTCCATAGAGTTTCAAAGCTGCGATACGATAGAGATGAAAGAAATCCAAATCAGTAAATAATAAAAAGGTAATAAATACTAGGTAGTGCATTTTATTATCCGGGCATCATCACTAGAGTGTTCAACTATATTTCAATTCTAGAAATTTCAAAAGAGCTGGTGATCGATTATGGTATATTTGACAAGAATTTCTTCCCCTTAAACAACTCGTCTTCCACATCGGATGGGGTTGGCCAGTGCGACTAAACTGGTGTTAGTGTGCGACTAAAGAAGGAGAAGGTATGTTTCTACAGAGGAAGAAGCCAAGACGGTGCGACCGTGCAGCTAGGTGGGAGAATTTTCTAAGAAAGGGCTTTTACCAATAGGAAGAAGAGGCGTATTCTTTGCGTAGAGGTAAATTTACATTTAGGTCACACCATCATGTGAGCGAAATGTTCTTAATGCTTTTAGCCTTTTAGGTATAAGATTAATCAATGGACTTCTATTTCAGCACTTTTATGATTTTATCTAGGTTTAGTAATAATAATTGCGACAATTTCGTTTAATGTTATTATCAAATTTCAAACCGGTGAAGTCAATGATGCAGATTATTGATGTATAAAATAGAAATATTTAAAGAGATCTCAAATTATTTTAGTCGCAAAAAAAGGGAGAATATAATATATTTCTACCGGCCAATGGCTCAAGATAAAGGTTAAAAATTAATGTTTGGGACTAGCTAGGGTTGTAAACGAAGCGAGTTTTTATCGAACTATTCGTGTTCGAGCTCCGTTTCGAACCTATTGAGCCGAGTTTAACTAGCTTTCGAACTTAAACTCGAGCTGAGTTTTAAGTTCATAAACTTAATCGAGCCAAGCTCGAACATAGTAGTATTTGGCTTGGTTCTAACTCGAGCCTATCGAACACCCTGAAAGTATAAATATAATTCATATATATGTCAAAATTTAATTATAATTTGTTTGATTTTATTAATTTTATATATAATTATTAACGAACCGAATACTTGTCGAATAATTTGAACATGAGCCTATTAACAAGCAGAACCTAAAATTTTAAATCCGAGCATATTTATTGAGCGCTCGGTTCGAACATCGAACACCTATCGAGCCGAACAAAAGCCTCATTTGTAAAGCTCGCCGAGCTTTGAGCTCGAACCCGGACACCCCTCTATTATCGAATCGAGCCGAGCTCGAGCTCTAAGTGTTCGGGCTCGATTCAGTTCGTTAACAACCCTATTTGGGACAATGACTTTTTTGTCACTTGAAGAGTTGAAGATGATGATGCCGGACAGGGCCGTCTAATGAATTTGGAGGCCCCGGTTCAAAATGTAAAAGCGGGGCCCCAAGTTAATATAAAAAATTATTAAAAAATCTCAATCGAAATATTTATACTCAAATCAATGGAATACTCATTAAAAGAGAACTAAAAGAGTAAAATGACTAACGAAAAAATGATGTATCTATATTAATATTAATATAATTACTAATAATTTTTTAAAATATGGGGCCCCTTAAATCTGGGGGCCCTGTTCTGGATAACCTATTAAACCCCCTAAAAAACGGCCCTGATGCCGGACTATTGCCGGTTACGGTCCGTCTTGTATGTTTTCTTTCAAATATTCTCTACTTTTGTAATTATTATACTCCGTCGTAGACAGAAATTAGTGAGTGTTTTCTTCTTTCTTTTCTCTGCTTTTGTAATTTGCATCCTAATTAACACGGAATGACTTTAATTTATGGCTGTCATTGCTGCCGGCTCGTCACTTTATTGTATGCTTTTCCATTAAAGTCTTAACGCATTTTCATTTGTACTAATATACGGAGTGTACCGTGTACGTACAATACGGAGTGTACCGTGGACGTACGCAGTGACGGAGCGGGAGTGTACAGTGGACGTACGCAGTGACGGAGCGGGAGATTTTTTGAAGGGGGCGTACCAAAGGTTAAGAATTATTGTGTAATTGCTTAAAATATAATAAAAAGCATAAAAGCGTAATACATTAGTACAAATTAGTTCATTAGATATTGATTGACTCGTATCTATAATCTAAGCAAATCAATCATATGAGTCTTAATTTATTCAACATGTTGTATAATAACTTCATCTTAGAAAAACACGACGACTCCCGGTCTTTTCCAGGATAATGAGCTCACCGACTCTTGTACACTTATCCACACACTCATAATACAAATACTTGATCTGATAATATCACTTTCTATTACCTGCACTCACTCTTTGTATCTGGGAATATTTAACTCTGCCTAACTCGATCACATACAATTCATCAAGCGATATCTTTGAGTCTTCTTCTTTCACGAGAATGATCTCACTTTCCTCTCTCAATTAAGGAGACTCAATTTCAATCCCTCAAGAGC